ACTACGTACCATCAAGTTAACTCTGACTTATGGCAACTCTTCCCAGGGTTTTCTAGGCAAAGAATACTCAGAAATAGTTCACCATCCCCTTCTTTTGCGGGGTGCTCTAGGACTGTGCAGTTTGCCCAAGGCCACTTTTTGTGGGAGGCACAGTGGGGAATTGAACTCCCAACCCTCTGGCTCTGCAGCCAGAGACCTAACTCACAGAGCTATTCAGCCCAGTGCATATTATGCTCCAAGACAGTACACTAATTACAGCAAACATGAGACTATGCTGGAAGCTTAACAGAACATCCAGGATGCCGGAAAGTTACATCAAAAAGAAGGTAGACTTAAAAAAAAAAACTATAGGAAAAAACTGGACCTAGGAAAGCTAAGAAACTTTGAAATTAATCAATAAATTAGCTGACCAAGAAGTTTTAATGGAAGCGAATATGTGCAAATTCAGTTCTAATGCTAAGTCTAGCAAATGTAATAGGCATCCATCTTTGCCCCATTTCTACAGATGAGAGCGAAGAAAGGGCCATTCATCCCTGTGGTCACAATACATTTAAAGGCACCCTTAACCCCTTGTGTGGCATGAGAGGTTCTCTCTTTTCTTATATCAGAGGTATCAAATTCTCACAATGACCACAAATTTTAACTGATTACATAGAGAAACCATACACTTGTAGTTGCCCAAGGTCAGCTAGAAGAAAAGGCAAGAAATCAGTTTGCTACAATGCCTGCCCAAAAATTAACACTTCAGACAATTATGCTAGAGTTAACAACAGGAACTAACAAATACCACACAACATGCTGTGGGAATGATGTGGTTAAAATCATGGTGTGATAGGAAGGACTATGGCTGATGATTGGAGAGAGGGGGCTGATCACATTTTTAAATTTGTCCCTATGTGAAAATAAATCATGCAAGCAGATGGAGCAAACCTTTCTTTTTCATATGTTAAATATTGGTGGTGTTACAGAAAAAGTTTCATTTTATTTTTTTTACTTGCAGTGGATTTGTGGACAAACATCCAAAACCCAGCGACTGAAATCCTGTTATGCTGTTCAAGTTATTCTGTACAAGGCTGATATCATCGGCTGCAGCATTTTTTTTGAAAATAAATTTCCAATTGCCCCATCCCAAATGTCCCAAGACCTCCATGAAATCCTTTCATCACGGGAAAGCCACTCAGGAATTTGGGGGATAGGTTGTTCCAAAATTTCCAAAATCTCTGCTGCTGATAATAGTCATCTGGGGAGTTGTGATTTCAGAAACTGGGGGGAAAAAACATTCCTGCAGCTCCGAACAGCTTCCCCAGAATGAAAAGGATTCCATAGGAGCCTCAGAACCCAATGAAATCTCCATTTGGGGGAAAGTGGACATCTTTTTATTTCGAAAAATTCACTGCAGTTGATGCCATCATCAGCTTTAAGTGGTGTAGCTACAGTACATGAGTTATTCTACTTCTGCAAATGCACAGAATAGTGTGTACAGATACTACCACCTAATGCACACACCAAACTAAAGTATATTCCACAGAGAAGATGAGAACATGTTTAATTTGTAAACATGTGGGTATATAGATACTTAAGAAACATTAATTTGGTGACATCAGTTGCCTACCGTATATCTTACTCTGCTGACTGGCCTAACTAGCACTAATTCATTTGTGTGGGTTACACAGGTTTAAGAAACTATGACTAGTTTGAAGCAGGTTTTTTTAATTTCCCGAATTGGACCACCAGATAGAGAGATTACAAGAATATCAACAAACACAGTTTTGGTAAAGCTTTGACTTTCCTGCTGAATACATGTCATTTCTCAGGTTATATCCCCTCTAGTGGAGGAAAAGAATACTTTTCAGCGATATGAACAACCATACAGAGCAAGGCATGCCTGTGATTTTATTTTCTACAAACAAATAAGGATATGTAAACATTTCTGTTCAAGCTTAAATTAAAATGAAGCAAATTCTACTACAGTGGTGCCTCGCAAGATGAAAGTAATTCATTCTGCGAGTAGCACTGTCTTGCGAAAAGCGGTTTCCCATAGGAATGCACTGCAATGCATTCCCATGGGAAACCTTGCAAGACGAATGAATTATTTGTCTTACGAGGCATCGGTCTTGCAGGGGGGAATCGTCTTGCGAAGCACGGCCATAGAAGAAGCCGTCTTGCAAGTCACCAACACGATCACAAAAACCATTCGTCCTGTGGGTTTTTCGTCCGGCAAGGCACCACTGTACTCAACATTCAGAAAACATATACAAAAGATACCATTTTAAAGCCTTTCTCATAATAGCAACTTTGCATAAGGACCAATCAATGGTTACTGGATTGGGGTAAACTTGCATCTACAAGAGTTGTTATTCATTGAAAGAATGCTTCTTAAGCAGATATAATGCAAAGAATATATAATAAAGCAATAATCTACGAAAACTGGTGTACATCCACACAACATTCTCCAGTCAACAGTACAACGTACATTCAGAAAATGCAATAGCCATGATTCAATCTCTGGCATACCACCACGTCAGGCAACCACATGACCTGCACTGTGACTACGTCCTACCAAAAGCAACCTAGCGCTTCTGTATTGTTTCAAGCTACTAATTACAGTTCTTAAAAGCATTTTTATTTCTCCCCTGCTATCTCCAGGGGAATTGACCTCCTTTCGATATATGTCTCAAATTTATCCTTTTTAACTCTGCATCATGCCATTCTCTTGCTATCCACAATGCAAAACACCAACAGTGGAGTAGAGCTGTAAGCTTTCTATTTGGCATAGAAGAAGAGTGCTGGGTGAAATGTACAATTAGTCAAAAATAATTAATTCTTCATCCAAGCAGGAGATCTTAATGGCATTATCTCCAATAGTTTTGGGATCTACAGTCTAAAGAGGATTTTTGCAGAACAGTATAATACTTGTTTTAGTTTTAACTATTTCTATATTTCTACTCATCATATCTAACAATATTATGAAGCAGTGTCCATCTGCATGCATTTGAGTGAAGACAAAGAAATGCAGAGGACTTATGAGCTGCTTAGAGCCTTCCTCACCTTGCAGAAATGAGTCAAGGTCAAATCACACATGAACTATTCTGGTTACTACAACTGTTGGCTATCGTCTTCTAAAAGATTACTTGATCTACACCACGAGTTCTTAACCTGTGCTCCAAGAAACCTAAGAGGGCCATAGATAAGTTACAGAGCTCTATAAACCAGTTGCAAAATATGATTTTTTTTCTTTGATTCTCTTCTTTTTACTTTGAAAGTTATCTTTTATGAAATACATTTTCAGAGACAAATTTCACTGAGGTAGCAAGAACTGCTATTATGCATGATAAGGAAACTTGCAATTGTCATAATCACTGTTTTATGTCATCTAGAACAGTTTGCCATCAGTAGGAATTAGAAGAAAATATACTCTATTAAAATCGCAAAGCGATAGGAAACATCGCAATGCGATCGCTTTTGCGATCGCAAAAAACGAATCGTTGTGCGGATTCGTCGTTAAACGGGGCGCTCGCTATGCGAGGCACCACTGTACTTGATCTACACCACGAGTTCTTAACCTGTGCTCCAAGAAACCTAAGAGGGCCATAGATAAGTTACAGAGCTCTATAAACCAGTTGCAAAATATGATTTTTTTTCTTTGATTCTCTTCTTTTTACTTTGAAAGTTATCTTTTATGAAATACATTTTCAGAGACAAATTTCACTGAGGTAGCAAGAACTGCTATTATGCATGATAAGGAAACTTGCAATTGTCATAATCACTGTTTTATGTCATCTAGAACAGTTTGCCATCAGTAGGAATTAGAAGAAAATATACTCTATTGTCATGATGACAGATATCTGTCTTTGTTCGCATCAATTCACAAGTAATATTTAACGCAAAATATTTAGCCTTTTCAAAAGTTCACTGTAATTCTTTTGTGCCAGACTAGTCATAACATTGTTTAATATGTATGTTTATTCGAACCAATCACCTTCTCACTGAAATTAACTTTTGAGCAGAAATAACATTTTGCGTTTTATCTGAATTTTGATTTGAGTTTATTTGAATTTCAATTTATTCCCTTTTTTTTCAGGATCTGGCCATTGATCTGATTTGATTTTCCACTTTTTTCCCAGAAAGGGGACCTAGAGCAACTTACAAAAATTTAATCATCAAAATATTAAAACGATTGCAAATACATTGGACAAAATACCATTTTCTAATCCCTTGCTGTGATTCTTAAGCATGTGTAATTATGGTGCCTTGGTATGTTGTCCATGCACAGTGCCAAGAATCATGGCCAGGAGTTTTTTGTTTCTAAGCAACATAGAAATGTGCTCAAGTTACACAACAGGATTTCAACCAAACAAGTTCAGTATTTTTTTAAAAAAATAATCATTAAAAGCTACTAAATAAAATATCTTTAAAACCACTTAAAGACACGTTTAAAACAATTAAACAACTCCCTCATCAAAACCCCTGCCTGAACAGCAATTCACTTACTAAAAGCTTTTTCCAAAAGATGGTTACCAGATTTTTGCTTGAACAAACAAGAGTGAGGGAGACACACCTATTTTTAATTATTTTCTTTGTAAATTTTGTTTTATACTCTGTCTCTATGTGAAGGAAAATCAATTTCCAATGGAATAAAGTAAATGTCATGCAAAATTTCATGCATATGTACCTTTTTCTAGGGAGAGATTCAATATGAACAGTAGTTACATCAAATATTACTATGAATGAAGCACTCACTCTTCATTGTTCCATCATCTTCCTCATCTTCTGTATTGATAACCATTGTTCCTAGTTGTGACTCTAGAGTATCATTGTATTCTATCATGGTGTTGATGCTGTCACTCATTCCGCAAGCAGCTCTCATCGTACTCGTCTCTTGTCCCCTTGCCCGCACCATGGTCCTGGAATCAGTTTCATCCTCTTCCTGTAAACAGGTACAAGAGCATCAGTTAGCCTAAGCAAAGTATCAGGATGGGCTCTCCAACACTGCAGGTAAAAAATGAATGGCTTATTTAAAAAAAAAAAAACAAATCTGATCCTAAAGCACCCCTCCGTAATAACCTTACCTTTATTTATTTTCATTCTTGAATGGATAGGAAAATACCATACAGGCATCTCTGAATGCAAAAAAAACCCTAAACTCTGTACATGTTTGGTGATCTAAGAGTATTAAAAAGCTTTGGGGAAATTCATATAATTAAAATAAACAGCAATGTTACATTAGGTGAAATGAATTTTTTAGCAATCAACTAGCAAAACAGTGAACACTTTTTTTGTAGCAGACACTAAGCTTCCTTCCAGAATACTGTATATACTGAGGCAGAGGTCAGCCTTTTATCAGACAAAGATAGAACTACAAGAGACTGAAATTACATGTCAACATCCTGAATTTACATAGCATTTGTTAAAAGGGACATTTTATGCTAATGCATATTTGCAGAAATATAAATAATGAGGAAATTATAATAATGGCTTAGTTTCATTTCATCCAAACCCTCATCTTAAGTTTGAACTTAGGAATTCTGACCAAACATAATGAAACGTTTATCCGTCTCCTTTAAATAGTATGCTGCTAACAATAAGCAGCACGTTTCATTCTGGAGGGACAACCCAGGATGTTCTTGCATAGAATAACCACCACCATTCCATTCAATAGGGCATTGTGGTCCAACAGTTCATGAGCTGAACCAAATATGTTAAAAGACTTTTCATTAGCATAATGTTTAGGCTTAAGAGCCTCAAGATATATGTAATAGAGTAACATAAAGGATGATTGAAATGAAATTATCATTATGGCACTAAACAGAATGATTTTAAAAATATACTATAATCAGCTTACGTAACACTCAGAAGTTATTCACACACACATCACGACTACAAATCATTCAGACATCCTCTTTTTATAATGCAGTCACAATGAGCTTCATGTAGGCTGCATATGTCATCTATCTCCATAGCATGATAAAGATAGAAGTGAAAAAGAGGAATAATCTATGAAGGTGCCTTATCGAGATCCATCCAGCGCAGCAATGCCTGCTCTGAACTCTTGGGGTTTCAAGTAGACCACATGGGCTAGCTAGTTAGCCATTCATTCATTCATTCATTCATTCATTCATTCATTCATTCATTCATTCATTCATATGCCCGTTTTATCTTCATGGGGGATCCGAGGTGACTCACACCAATTAAAACTGTACAATAAGTTTTAAAATACTATACAAAACTATATTTTAAAAGCAATCGAATATTAATCAAGATTAAAACAAAGATTAAAATAATTTAAAGATATTTTCTTAAAAATAACTAAATTTCATAAATACAGCATTGCAAGGACCACCACCACCCCACTTGTTGCTTAAAAGAGGAAGGTCTTTGCCAGATGACAGAAGGACAAGAGGAAGGGGGATAATCTGACTTCCCAGAGCAGTGCATTCCAAAGCCTGGGAGCAGCTACTGAGAAGGTCCTCTCTCAGGTCCTCACCAAATGAGCTTGGGAAGATAGTGGAACACAGAGAAAAGCCTCCTTGGAAGATATTAAAAGCCAAGTATATTCATATGGAGTGATATGATACTTCAAATAGCCTGGACCCACGTCATATAGGGTGTTATAGGCAATAACCAGCACTTTGAATTGAGCCCCAAACAGTCTGGTAGTGGGTGAAGCTGTTGTAATGAGGGATTTATATGCTCCCTGTAACCAGCAGCTGTGCTCTTTCAGATACCCTTTTACTTACACATGCTATTCTGTTTCCCCGAAAATAAGACCTAACCTGAAAATAAGCCCCAGTATGATTTTTCAGGATGCTCATAATATAAGCCCTACCCCAAAAATCAGCCCCAGTTAAGTGAAACCCCACCCTCCATGATTTTGCAGCAACCAGAAGATGACATGACTGTATTTGAATAAATATAAATTGTTGTACATGAAAAAAATAAAACATGCCTGAAAATAAGCCCTAATGCATTTTTGGAGCAAAAATTAATATAAGACCCTGTCTTATTTTTGGAGAAGCACGGTAAAAATTGAAACCAGGACCTTCTTTGTGCACAGCATGTAGCCCAACTCTGTGCTACAGCCCCTGCCTTCAAATTCATGTCAGAACACTTTTATATCAAGTCACTTTTCACGTCTACCATATGTCATCTGACACAGCTGGTTCTAAGGCAGGAGGGTACTGATAGTGTTGCTTACTTATATTTTTTTATTCTGTTTTTCAGTTTTAAAAAAACCAACAGGTTATCAAAATTTCTTATAAGGAATAAGGAAGTTCCTGCAAACAGACTTACAATCTAAATGGCACATTGCAAAAGCGAAAGAGAGAAAAGTAGGAAAAAGTGAAAGACTAGTTTTTCACTTAAAAATGACCCTCTTCACCCCATAACATAACTTCACCACTTTTTCACAAGCGCCTGGCTCCAATGGGCTCTGTGAGAGGGTCTAATCCAACTAATCAGTGAGGTTACATGCAGTTCACCATGTTATCTACTGCTGCTTCTGTTCGAAGAATTTTTGTTAAAACAGTGAAGCTCAATGAATAAATGACACATTGTCATGTCAGTTAGTACTGGAGGGAGGAGGGAGTTAACCATGCTATTAGAGCAGTGGTTCCTAATCTTGGGTCCCCAGATGTTCTTGGACTACAACTCCCTGAAATCCTGTCCAGGCCAATTAGTGGTGAAAGCTTTTGGGAGCTTTAGTTGGGAACTACTGTACAAGAAGAAGCACAAACATTTGAGCAGATTTGTTACTTACTGAATTTTCTTCATCATCATGGTATAATTCACGCTGCTGAGCTTCCTGAATTTTCAGTTTAACGTCCATCGCCTCGTTGATCATATCACGCAAGATGAAAACTCCTTTGGCATTTTTTACAAATGGATGCTAAAACACATATCAAAAATAAAAAAACTTATTTTAATTTTCACATGCAGAAGGACAGCTGCAGAAGCTATGACAACTAAATGAGCCTAATTTATGAGGCGCCAGTCATCTGTTACTGTGTGCGTGGGGGGTGGAAGGATTGTAGTCCTTGAGAACTAAAGGGTGAATGGAAATTAGCAAATAGGAGAATTATTTTAAAGGGTGAATTATTTTAAAGAGATGAACTAAAGTATTTTAAAATCATATATATATAATGCTAGTCCATACAATTTTTACCAGCACAAGTGCATACAATTTTATAAAAAGATACATAATAAATTCCTGACTTGCAAAGATTCTACTGGGTGTACTATCTGGAATCCTGTACACTCCTCTTTGGGAGTAGATGCATAGGTGCAGGTCCCAATCATCTCAAACGTCTAATACGGTGTGCAATTATAATGGCTTACTTCAACAGAATCCTTGCTGCAATGGTACATATGAAGTTTTTTCAAACCTTTAGAGAAATATATTAAAGACATCAGGACTAAGAGACAAATTGAAGGCCCAGAAATCACTATTAAAGGGGACAAAACATAAATAGCTCATCAGAAAAGCAAAAAGAAGTGTTCCAGATGGCGCCATTTGTTGTGCGCCTGCTAATCTCTCCAATAAGAAAACTGAGGAAAAATGCTTTTCATTCTCTTCATATTCCAGAATGGCAGTTACTAACCTGAAGCAGTTGTGTCGCAGTGGCTCTCTGTTCTGGACACTTCACAAGACACTGTTTCACAAAATCTGTGAATTCATCAGACCAGAGTTCCGGCTTTCGGAATGTTGGAGGCGGATTTGTTGGAATCATGAAGATTGCCTGCAAACAACAATATTTGTATTAGCTTCTGTTTCTCTTATTTTTTAAAAAATCGTATCAAAGAAACACACCTGCAAAATCCCTTCAGGACAAAAGCTCTCCTGGTATTCTTTTGTAGTGACTGGCAAAGCTCAATCTGGAGTCCTGAAGGATGAACACCTTCACCCCAGAACCTTTGACTTCATGTGGTCCACACTTTCATGTATACAGGCATAAGCACATCAAGTATAACCTCCTTCAAACCCACTAACTCTAACACACACAATTTGTTAACTAGGCTAAAAATGGGGAAAAGCATTCTCAATAAGAGGAGGTAAAAGAAGCTCAATAAATGCACTTGTACGTTCCAGGATATTGTTGAACAGATAGTATGTTTCCTCATTATATGTGTATATTACATGTGTTAGTTTGTCTAGAATTTCTTATTCAAACATAACTAACCAGTAACCAATTTCATTACAACTGTGAAGTGGTTTAACCTTGTGTTGGCTATCCAGTACTTACCCTCATTGGGTGAATATCAGCATATGGTGGTTTTCCTTCAGCCATTTCAATGGCAGTGATGCCCAGAGACCAGATGTCTGCCAGACAATTGTACCCAATTTCTTGGATTACTTCAGGTGCCATCCAAAATGGAGTCCCTATCACAGTGTTCCTCTTTGCCATGGTATCCTAAAAAGAAAAAGAAAAAGAAAAGAAAGGACAAACAAGCAATTTAGCCAAATAAAGAAGGTTCTTTTATTTATTTATTTATTCAATTTGTATCCCACTCCCATTAGCATTGTAGCACTACTCTGGGTGGGTTACAATCTCATAAAATAAAAAACACATATGAGAATACTGTAAAAATATTAAAACTGATAATAAAAACCCTTTAAAAAAGAAAAGAAAAAGAAAGAAAACCAAAAGAAAAGGGGAAAAAAGCCCAGAGGCTTCTACATAAGTAATGATACACACAAAACTTATAAACACAAAACTTCCTAAAAGATGTGCAAAGTATTTGTTGAGCAAGACTGAAAATAATGACCAGAGGCTGGGGGAGAAATCTTTCCACTATGTCAGCACTCACTTTCCTTGGCAATTCTCCTTTGTGTAAATTTCAGAGGGCTGGACAGCATATCATGGGAAGAAGAGGGAGGGAGAGAACATCAGTTTCTACCAGTCCAGGTGCATGCACCTTGACCTGGATCCAATCCTCTTTCATGAATGAAAAGCAAGTGTATGCAAGCATTTATTTATTTGTTTGTTTGTTTGTTTGTTTAACTTATATGCCGCCCACACTACCCGAAGGTCTCTGGGCGGCTTACAGCATGCAAAATACAATAAAAAGGCAAAATAAAAGGGCAAAATAATTAAAATGCAATTAAAATATATATTACTACTCACTGTAAGTTGGCCTGCTACCCCAAAATCTGCAAGTTTAGCATGCCCTTCTGTGTTGAGTAATATGTTGCCAGCTTTGATGTCACGGTGTATTTTCCTCATGAAATGTAGGTATTCTAGTCCTTTTAGTGTTGATTGTATGATTGTAGCAATTTCATCTTCCATCAACTGAAGAAAGAACATTACTGAATTAGTAGATACTAAAAGCTAGCAGCTTTAAAACCCTGCTACAGTTCAATAAAAATATGTACACTTTGTAAATTCTCAGCTTCCTCAGGAACACTATAAAACCCCAGTCAACCTTTTATCATCCCAAATGATGATTTACCACACAAAATTGGCATCACTGAACGTAGCAGCTACCAAAAGAGCTGAAGGTAGAAAGGAGTTCTCAATAAAAAATCATAGCAGCTTACCAAAAAAAAACCCTATCAAATAAAATCATGATCAGTTCATCTTCTAAATTCCAAATATTACTTACACAAAGACTCACAATCACTTTTACAGTGACTCACAACCACACAATACAGCTTATATGACCAGACCAAACCAATTTATGACAACACGCACTATAATCTAACAATGGTTCTAAAAATACACTGTCCCTGTGGAGCAAACATTACACATTCTACCAACATTAATTATATCTTTCTATAATTTCAGTCACATTTTATCAACCAACAATATAAAAGACTACTAAAAACATTTATATGGTTACGATGTCTGCCATTAACAACAGTCAATTTTATCTGGAGTAGAGACGAACAAGTGGATCTAGGTCGGACGCTTTTGTCATGCAACTAAGTACATGAGCCTATATAACATCCAGAGCACATGGGACTATATAACACGCCAGCTTTCCAATTTCAATTACCAAGCCATTTGCCAAAGGGCAATTTTCCTCTTGAATTCAAAGGATGTCATCATACAATAGAAGACCAAAAAGTCAAATTCAAAATCTAATTACATTTTTAGACTATAGCAATCAGTAGTGTGACCCTAAATAAAATTTTATCCCAATTAACCTAGAGGCTTGTACACAAATAAAGATACAAACAAAACCTATTTTCGTGGCTTGTTTAGCAGTGCCTGAGATTACAAAGACAAAAAGTGCTATTCAAATAGTATCTCACAAACAGAGTTGCTGTTAAAAGACTTCTTATCTTTTATTTGAAATATGTATATCCCAGGCTGCCAACCTAGTTCTCCAGGCAGTTTAAACAAATACAGTACAATGAAACAGTTCAAGTATGTTAAAGAGTCTCCCATTCGGCAGGTCTCTGCCTAGTTTGCTGCTACTTCCTGTAGGCCCTGGTAGCAGATATAATAAGCACTGAAAACCACAAAGTTGCAGTCTTCAGGGTATGACATCAGCTACTTTGATCATGAATCTATCAACTACTCCAGATTAAGCTACAGTACAAGGTTCTCCTAAAGTAAATGGTAGCTGACATAACCCACTGTCTTTTCATATAATCCCAGCAATCACATATAGCACATGCAGCCAAATACATCTGCAAATGCAATGTTTCATTATACACGGCTGTACACACATGCAAAGAGAAAAGGTGAGAGCCCACTAACTAAATATGCCAATACTTTATCAGTGGCAATACAAAAAAGGAAAATTCCACTAGTATATTTCACATCTCACGTCACTCAAAATAAATAAGGCTAATGGGTAGACATTTGGGGTATCATATTAACAAGACTAGTTAATATGTCTTGTCAGTACCCAATGTTTTTATCTGCAAAGAAGTCAAATATGTATTAAAATGTTGAAGAAGCACATACGGTTTTATTTCGTAGTCGAATGATATCAGACACAGATCCGGCACCACAATATTCCATGACTATCCAGAGGTCCGTGTTCTTAAAATAGCTGCCATAATATTTGACTACATGAGGACTAAAGAAAAAAATTAGGAGAATGTGTTTGTTCGATAAATACACATACACAAAATGCAAGCCAAAAGCCAGACTTAAATCCTAGATTTTATACAAAGTTATAAGCCTGATTAAAAGCAACAGCAGAGGAAAAAGGAAACGTTTGGCACATTCTTTCAGGTCTGAAATTTAAATTGTGTCAGAAGAGTGCATTTTAGAAACTAAAATGAAAGATGCGCAAAGGGCTGATCTGCACAGTGAATACGTTTGAATTACTTGAGCTTTGGTGGGTGCCCAATAATTTAATGGGGTAGGTACTGTCAAGGAAACAACAGCCATTCTATATAAAGTACATCCTTTGAAGGTGGGCTTCACCCTTTGAAGAAGAGCAAAGCAGTACCCAAGCTGAGAATCATGGGTAATAACTATTGTAGAATTTATTTATTTAACTATGATAACAACTGCATATGCTGTATAGCTGGTCTTTAATACAAACACTTGTTTTGTCCCAGCATCGAAATAATAGTTGCAATGTTCAGCCAATATTGCAGACATGAAACCTGTGTCACTTAAAATTCCTGTACAGAGCACTTGAAATGTTGCAAGTATCCCCCCTACACCCAATACTCTACAATGCCTATGCAAAATGTAGGGGGGAAAATGAAGTCCCACCGCTATGTTTCTCACTGGAAAATTCCACCCATGTCAACTGTAGATTTCCTATGAAATGTCTAGTTTCAATGGGGATGAGAGTAAACTAGGGGGCTTATTACCCTGCCCCTTCGGAGGTACAAAAAGATGTGAACAGTGGTCCCCAACCTTGGGCCTCCAGATGTTCTTGGACTACAACTCCCAGAAGCCTTCACCAGCACCTCTGCTGGCCAGGATTTCTGGGATTTGAAGTCCAAGAACATCTGGAGGCTCAATGTTGGGGACCACTGACCTACATAACAAGAATAGGCAGAAGAATACATTAGCTTTGACTGATTCATACAAATGATTGTCTACCAAAGATAATGGTCATGCCAGCTCACTAATAGCCAGTGTGGGTCTGATTTAAATTACTATTCAGTACCACTCCATTTAAACATATAATTTCCCCTGCCAGCTCCCCCCCAAGAAAAAAAACCCACCACTCTTGCTTGCTGACCCTGGAACAATAAACTTCTATCATTGACATTTCCAGTGCCTGAAAATATGACTTTTAGAAAAAGACATGCAGCTTATGATGGGGGGGGGGAGGCTATAAAACTCACCACCAGATGCCACAATTTGCGGACTGCTGGGGGAGATTTTCAGATATTAAAGGTTTTTGCCTGGTCCTGAGACTCCCCAAGTTGCCTCCAGGTTGAAAGGGATCCCTGGGGAGCCTCAGAACCTGCTCTGGGCAGATGGAAAATTCGAAAGATTAACATCTATGAGTCATGACATCATCAGTCTTTATAACCATGGACTTGTCCAAGAGGAGTTTGGCCACTAAATTATGCATTCAGTTCTGGATATGCTACTACTGATAGCTTTTTGTTGCTAGATAAAACATGTCCCCCCCCAGTTCAACAGGTTTATTCCTTCCCATGTAATTATTTATTCAAAAGATAGCTTATCCTGGCCTTCTTCAAAGGTTTTAAAAGAATTAACAAATTTAAGTTTGATAACACTATAGACGTAAGTAGGGTAAACAAATTCCCTCTTGGCCAAGCTATTATCTGTTGTCACTTCTGACACCCCTAAAGCCTGTGACACATGCACATAAATTGGGAAAGGTCTTTGTCCTTGAACTGTGCCATGAAGATGTCTCCCATATTGTCTCATCACTGTTGTTTCACACAATTGCCCAGAAGAAGGAAGGGAGATCACCAACCACTTCGTCCACAGACAATAATGAAACAATGAGTTAACTTCTATAAGCTTGCTTTCACTGAAAAAAAAAAGTTAATTCCTCACTACTATAATTTCCTGCAAAATGTATCTACTGACAAAGAAAGATGGGGATGTGTGATGAAAAATGCTATTTCATTATAAAGTGCTATTTCTTGATTTTGGAAAATCTAGTAGCATTTAAGTCTATATTTTTAAGAAATGTTGACTAAAAAAGTGAGATGCAAATCACTCTTCTTATATGAAGCAAAAGAAGATCATCCTTTTTGTTTAAGTAACTATTTATTTTCCAAGTTCTCCTCTTACATCACTTCCTTGATAGAAATTTCTGGTTCCTCGTACAAAAATTCAGGCTACTGGAATGAAATGACCCCTTTTTCTCTCCTCCCCCCGCCCGCCTATTTGGTACATAAAAAGAAAGCTATGTTTTCTGCATATGGTAAAATTTGCCAGCTGTACAGCTTCATTAACAAGGCTACAGAGGAGTTGTCTCTCATGGTGAGTGAGCATACTGAGCACAGGCACTTACCTATCACACTGCTGCATTATTGATATCTCTTTAATAATCTCCTGCAAGTCAGACTCAACAGGAACTTGCTTAATTGCAACAACCTGGCCAGTTCCTTTATGGATAGCTTTGAATACACTTCCATAGGACCTATTAAAAAACAGAGCAGCAGAAGAACAAAATAATAAGCAGGGCTCTTGACATGTACACGGGGAGTGTGCCACATACTCAAGAACTACTACATAAATAACTCATGTGAAGATTGTGGAATTTGTCTAGAGAATATAGAAAATACAGGATATGCTGATGGAAGCCAAACCTCCTTATTCCCAAGTGTAAAAATTAATAATTATACAACAATTCTAGTACTTAAAATTGCTCATCATGACATGGTATCTTAATTTAGCTCAGATACAATATCAAATGAAGGGGATTTTTCACCATGAAAAATAAGGAATTCAGCTGATATGATGTATTTGGAACATTTCCAGTTTCCTTCTCATCTAATGCTTAAATTTACGTATGTCCAAGCTTATCTGAAGACCATAACAACTAGAAACATGAATAGGTGGGAATTAAATAAAACATCAATACAATGTAAAATAATGTCTTAGGTGTAGTGAGGGAGATGGACTCTTACCTGCCACATATTCCTAACCCAGTTTTTATTAATAATGCACTTTAGGCCTAAAATATACTATTTTCAAACTCCTGGCAGATCTAGGTCTTTTTATTTCAAGACAGCAAAACATCACTCATGCAAATGACACATGGGATAGTTTATTGATATTAATTCCCACCTAGAAAATACTACATGAGACAGACAAATATAACCAGATCCAATATGCTGAAGTCAGTTTGCAGAGACCATGATTTTAAATGCTGCATGCACACAACTGCTACATGGCAGGAACCAAGTACAGTACAGACAGTAGGAGCTGCTCAGGGTTCTCACTCAGTTAGCCGGGACTAGCTACAGCCGTTTAGGTGCCTCCAGACTTTCTGGAGCACAGCTTGCATCATCTCAATGGGTATGGAGATTAGGGTTATGCGAGTTGTACTCCAAAATATTCAGAAGGTGCTCAGCCACTTGCTGCTGGTAGAGATAGATAGCTAAGAGAAAACTTTGTAAAAACTAAAAATGGCAAAATCATTAGATGTGCATAGAGTTCTATTTCATTGGATTGCAAACGACATGACCTAGCCTGATGCAGAAAAATAATTCTGCAAGTGCCTTCTTTTACTGCGTTATGCAAAAGAGGGCTTTTCCCTGAACAAATCTTATACTTGAAGACAGCAAGTCTGAAGTTTTATTCATAAGCTTCAGCAGGACCTGTTTGTCTAAATGGTATGTGAGTTTCTGTAGAGATATCCCAAAGAGAGAGAGAGAGAGAGAAACACAATCCGTAGGCGTACCAGTAGCAGTAATTGTTCAACACATGCCTTTCATCACAAAAGTAAGACAACTATTTGTCATAATGTACACTTACCCTTCTCCAAGTTTTTCCAGCACATCAAACACTTCTTCAGGTTGCTTTGTCAAACTGTCTTCATCTAACTTCCTGAGCTGCCTGTAACCCAAAGGAAGAGAATCTGAGTTACAGAATGCAGGTTTTAGAGACGTCCTTCAGTAATGTTTCTTAAAACTCAGTTATCATCTACAGGAAATGTGACTGCAAATAACAATCATAAGGATATAAGAATATATTCATTTAAATTTAATCTTATCAAAAATTACATTCAAGAAAACTTATTAATAACAGGATGACTGCTATGTTGGATCAGATCAGGGGCATATCTAACTGTCCCCTGCTCATGCTGAGAAAAACCCTTACATGAGATACTGAAGTGCCATGAATGCATATTTCTTCAGGGCATGGAAAGGAGAGATGTCCGTAGCTTCCACAGATAGGCAAGATGACAGAGTTCTTCTAACCCTCCTACAGTGGATCACTGTTGCCACAGTGAAATTTTCAAGTCAGTAGCATAAAATGCTATTCATGAGATACATGACAAAGGGACACAGTATTGCAAGAAAAGGGAAGAGTTGTCAAAATGTGATGTACTGTTTTCTTGTCCAGAAAGATCATTAATACATTATTGCCCCGCAGAAGTTAACACATAAGAAGCATAGGTAAAGGTTCCCCTTGACATTTAGTCCAGTCCTGTCTAACTCTAGGCCGCAGCGCTCATCCCCGTTTCCAAGCCGTTTGTCTGAAGACAGTTTCCTTGGTCACGTGGCTAGCGCAACTAGACACGTCTTACCTTCCCACCGAGGTGGTACTTCTTTATCTACTTGCATTTTTACATGCTTTCAAACTGCTAGGTTGGCAGGAGCTGGGACAAGCAACGGGAGCTCACTCCGTCGCGTGGATTCAATCTTAGGACTGCTGGTCTTCTGACCTTGCAGCACAGAGGCTTCTGCGGTTTAACCCACAGCGCCACCACGTCCCTATAAGCAGCATACAATTAAGCAAAGGAAGACTAGAATCAGTTACATTGTTGGCTAAAATTCAACAGGAAGGTGGGCCTCTAATAGAGATTCAGAGAATTATCAACTTAAAACATATCCTAGATTGTTGCAATGAAAAGCAAAAATGACAAAGTTCCCCACCAGTTTCAACCCTAAAAGACTTTATTATAAAATTTGAAAGGAGTCCTTGCAATGGTCCAGAGTAGTTCTCAAAAAATGAAGTTCCCAAATCTACTTAATGTTCATCATGTAAGCTTAAATTGTGTTCAATAGATTTTATACAAGGGTTATGCTGCTGATACCATCTTTTCTCTCAGCTTTGTTTTTTTGATAAAATGTTACTGGATTTCTGTTCTGGCGACTATAATCTAGATTTGTCCATTGTGCTTATAGCTGAGTTCAATTAAACTGTCATTTGGCAAAGGGATGGTTAATGAACTTTTTAAAAACAGGATTTTAAAGAAATGTATACAGAAAATTGTACAAATTTGAATTGAATTGTACAGAAAAAATACCGTGTACTAGAGTGGATAAAAATCAATGATTTTGAAATGTTATAAAAATCAATTTTCAAATCAATTTATCTTGGAGTGCATTGTAATGCATTACATACTGTATATAGTACATCATGCTTAAATGCCCTGGGAAAAGCCCTTTATTTCAGTAAGCAGGAGTGCAGTAAGAATGGTAAACAAAAGTGCATGCCCAACTATGGCCCAGTTAGTCCCCCAAAACCTCCTGCTCACACCCATAAGGACCACAAATGCTAAGTGCCTATGTTTTAGAACACAGCAGAAAAAATAATACTATGTATGAGGTGCACAGTGACTTTTAAAAATGAGGAAATATTATGAAAGCTCAAACCTCGGAAGTTGTGAAATACCAGAACTGACTTCAGTGATAAGACTAGAAGATTGGCTCTTGTTTGAACAAAACCCAGCTGACAGGACACTGTTCTCAAATAGCAAGAAGGGTACTGAGAAAAAGATATACAGTACTTGAGACACACACTAATACAGAAAGCAAGGGTAGGGCAAAGTGATGGGAAGTATAGGTGCAGCTGTGCAAGTACTTTCAGGAGCCAACTTCATATCAAGCATATGTTCTGTGTCAAGGTTAGAAGCAGGTTAACTATTTTAGTAAAAAAAAACTGCTGAAATATTGAGCATCCTGTTGTGTAATTTTGCACCCAGCCTAATTTGGATCAGGTGCTGGGAACGTTTAATTTAAGCTTATTAAAAGCTGTCTTTCCAAAAGCAAGCAAGGATCTTTCTCTTCAAGCAAGTCTTCTCTCACTAACCAGCTACATGTGTGTGATTTTTAGATAGATTGTTATGTGTTACTGCTTTGACTGGATTTTTAGTACTACTTGCGTTTTCCATTTTTGCGTTTCCATTTCTGAGAGTTATGCCTTTTAAATTTTTATATACTTGTTGATCTTTGCCTTAATATTGCCTTTTAATGATGTAAGATGTCTCTTTATACTCATTGTTTTTAGCTTTAAATATTGTCTTTTAATGATGTTAACTGCCAACGTATACTCATTGTTTTCAACTTTAAATATTGTCTTTAATTGTTGTAAACTGCCTTGGGTCCTTTTAAAGGAGAAAGGCAGGGTAAAATATTTTAAATAAATAATAAATAAATTACAAAATTTATTTCCATCCATTCATAAGAAACCTTCCATATATGCAATTTCAAGTCATTTAAAACTATTGACAATTATACAAACATGGGCCTGAGTGTAATACACACACATGTACAGATATACAACTGGCACTCAATTGGTCAGCCTCTCTACCCTGATTAACATGTCCATTTCTATTTCCTCACTGTAAACTATTTTTTTCCACAGTAACATTTAATCAGGCTTATTGAGCATGAGCACTGGACTGCTAGAGAGCAGGTACAATAATGACAACTGGAACTGAACAATGACTTCATGTAACAAAAAAAGTACAGTGGTGCCTTGCTTAATGGCTGCCTTGTTAAATGACGAAACCGCTATACGATGACTGTTTTGCGATCGCTTTTGTGATCGTAAAACAATGTTTAATGGGCAAAATTCGCTTCCCGATGATCGGTTCCCTGCTTCAGGAACCGATTTTTCGCTAGACAATGTTTTTAAAACAGCTGATCGGCGGCTTCAAAATGGCCGCCCGCTCTGTAAAATGGCTCCCCGCTGTGTTTTTGGACAGATTCCTCACTTTTCAGGCACTGAAATTGGCTGCCCCTATGGAGGATCTTCGCTGAACGGTGAGTTTTCAGCCCATTGGAACGCACTGAACGGGTTTTCAATGTGTTTCTATGGGATTTTTTATTTCACTTAATGAGGATTTTGCAATACAGCGGTTTTGCTGGAACAGATTATCCTTGTTAAGCGAGTAAGAATTTCTGTAATCACTAGCAATTGCAAACACTACCCTGTTCCCCTGAAAATAAGACCTAACCTGAACATAAGCCCTAGTATGATTGTTCAGGATGTTCGTAATAAAAGCCCTACCCCAAAAATAAGCCCCAGTAAAGTGAAACCCCGCCCTCCACCATTGTGCAGCAACCAGCAGAAGATGACATGACTGTTTTTGAATCAATGTACAGTGCTGCCTTGACTTACAAACTTAATTGGTTCTGGATTCATCTAAGAAAGAAAGAAAGAAAGAAAGAAAGAAAGAAAGAAAGAAAGAAAGAAAGAAAGAAAGAAAGAAAGAAAGAAAGAAAGAAATTACCAAAAAACAAACAAACCCATAAATAAAAAACACTGCAAAACCCATCAGAAACATGACTAATCCATTCTGGCTGGGGGGGGGGAGCAAACAAACCATACAAGACCCATCAGAAATGCAAAAAAAGCAAAGCAGAAAGCAAACAAACTGTCCAAGACCCTTCAGAAATGCAAAAAACGCAAAGCAGAAAGCAAACAAACCGTGCAAGACCCTTCAGAAATGTCAAAAAACCCACAGCAGAAAGCAAACAAACCGTGCAAGACCCTTCGGAAATGCAAAAAAAGCAAAGCAAAAAGCAAACAAATCTTGAAAGACCGATCGGAAATGGGGGGGGGGAAGGAGGGTCGTAACTCGAAATGGTAATATGTCGGGACGTTCATAAGTCGAGGTACCACTGCAGATTGTTGTACATGAAAAGAACAAAACATCCCCTGAAAATATGCCCTAATGCATTTTTGGAGCAAAAATCAATATAAGACTCTGTCTTATTTCCGGGGAAACATGGTAGTTCAATCATAACTTTTTCATTCAGTCCTCTTTAATTTGACACAACAAACACACACCAACAATAACAACCTAGTGCATAGGAAACGAAGATGAGTGTCATTTGTGAAGGGTTTTTTTTAAAGAAGCAAAGAAACTAGCATTCTCTATACCACAAAACAAAGGAAGTGGCCTCTACTGCTCAGCATGCAAATGTGCCATCCAGAAAAAGCTGTGTTTCTCTGATAGCATTCTAACCAACACAGAAATTTTAGTGAACTGTTTAAGCACTTGGTTTTTCTTCCAATAGCTGCAATGTCATGACAAATGACAACCCCGTCAAGTAAAATACTTGTCTTAAACATTAATTTATGAACAGGTTTCTCAACCAAAAGATGTGCATTTTCTTTTTCATATTAACATTCAAAGCAAAAAACTAATTTCAATAGTACTAAAATATGACTTAGAATTGTATAAAAACAATTAAGATGTATAGTTGTCTATCCCCAATTTCATGCACTTGTTTCAAATTTGGATTAACCACAACTCAATATGTAACTCAACACAAAATACCATAGATAATGTCAACCATGGGAGCAACATACAGTATTTTAAACCAGAGTTTCTGAAACTGACTAAAAAAACTAAATTAACACTAACTGCTGCTTTGGGTTCTGGTGACACATTAAATAAATATAAGAACTCCTGATTTCCTAAGTGTAGCTGAAAATGCAATGGGGGGGTAGAAGCCTAGAGTGTGGCAAGACTCATAATGAGATATACCATTACATTGAGACACAACTGTAGCATATGTTTAAGTGATTTGTAGCAGCTCATCTGGCCATCTGAAAAAAGTCAGTGTTTCCCAACCTGGGGGTTGTGACTGCCAAGG